TTTCTGACTGGTGAGCTAAGCCCGATGCCGTCTGATCCGTGTTTTGGTGTTGGTAGTTTCGGTTCGCCATTCTCGTCCATTAAGCTAGACGCCTTTCTGGGGGTAAAATTGATCCTCCGTACAGGAGAGCTCAGTCCAGTATTCTCCAAGCCATGTTTAACAGGCGAGTGAACAACAAGTCTGAGCGGATCATTGTTGTCGTCCTTGATAGTGTTCAATTCATCGTCTTCTCCATCGGAGCTTGCGTATGCTGATAGAGACTTGGCCACTTGCTTGGCCTTCTTGGGGGATAATGGTTGAGTCGCATCCTTCTTCTTCGCTGCTGCGGGTTTCCTTCCGCGAGTACCGGTTGTCGTAGGCTTGCGAACTGCTGACGCTCCGAGGCCGGTCTTGCCAACGCTCGCGCCCTTGGTCGCGACTCGACGACGGCCGACAGCAAGAACCTCGGGCACAGATTCCTCAGCTTCGGAATCCGAAACATCTTGGAATTTCACTGTCTTCTTCTTGGCGGGTCCACGTAGAAGATTTGAGCGCATGGTTGTCGAGTTGGTCGCAATTCTAATTTGGTTCGGTTTCATCTCATCCGCCGTATCAATTACCGCTCGCGTTCGCCTGCTTGTGGCCGCCGTTTGCATCAGAGGGGCTTTCGCTGTTGTTCCCGCTCTTGGTCGGCCTCTGGTTTTGGGTGCTGTCTCGGGCTTGGTCGCAACAGCCTCTACGGGCAGCGGATTTTTTCTCGGTCTTCCAACGCGCTTCTTTGGCGCCTCTATTTGTTGTCCTGGTCCATCTTCACCGGCGTTGTTTGAGGGGTTTGACTTGTCGGCGAGAGACTCTGAGGCTTTCCTCCCTCGGGCAGTCGCAGTTGCAGTCACTTTTGGTTTGGTAGCTGGGCGACCAGGAGGACGTCCGCTGGGTTTCGCGGGTTTACTTGTGATACATCCCAGCTCATCATCGGACTCAACATCGAAAGCCGGGGGCGCAGTCCGTGGTGCTGGGGTGGCTTTTCGAGGGGCTTTCTTCTTCGCATCGGCAGCAGCTGTCGACTTGGTTGAAGATCGTACCCGTTTTGCAGGGGATTGTGGGATTACTGCAGCGCGGGCCATGTTGATATTGCCGGTTGTCGTTGGTCGCAGTTAGTGTTGGCACGCGACGCTCATGGCGGGTTTGGGCGGTCAAATGTAATATCGGCCCGATGTCGTTAGTTTGCAGGTTACCGAGAGTGTCGAATTAGGTGCATGAAAAAGGAAGCAAGGCAAAGCAAATAACCCACTGTGGAGGTGGCGGTCGATCCGAGGTTGTTGTGGCGTTTCCCATGGCAACGCAGGCACGTGATATGATCGACGCCTCATTCGGAAAACACATCAACAAGGATGCTACATCGGATTCATTCAAGGGCAGATCAGATACAACCGTGAAAATGCAGGAAGATAAAACCCTGTTCCTACATGTAACTATCTAGATTATGCTATAGATCACATAATTAGAAAGTTCAACCTTGCACCATAATTTGTACGTCATTCGATGTATATTCCCAGTAGATACTTTTATAGTGTATTTCTAAATGATTTCAGACCTTCTCTAAATGTTCTTTTTCTGGCGGTAAACGCCGAATCGATTAAGGACCCAGAACAGCTATGGACACGTTCACCCTCCTCGTGATGTAATAGCGCACAAATTCAAATTGAAGAAGAGCAGGGCCTGTATATTTGAGGGATATGGATTTCCACCGGGTTATTTGCGAATTGAAAACTGGAAGGGACAGTCCTACACAGACGTGCGACCAGCCGTGTTTCTTGAATGGAAAAATATATGCATTACTATTGAATTGGTGGATCTCATCCGAAGAAATTTAGGCAAACACTAGAAAAATGAAAATGACATAGGGATGGTTCGATGGCACATCGCATGTGCTTAAAAAAAGTGTATCCAATGGCGAAAATACATGCTTCGAATGTGAATAGCTGCAACATGGCAGCGGGAAGACAAGAAATCACAATGTCCTTTTATACCAGGGTGAACATTGCCAGGCCGGCTGTGATAACCGTGGATAGCATGGTGGGCAAATTTACCGAGGCCATACTATCCGCCACCTTCAGATAATAACCTGGATCATAAGAGGCCGGTGTGGTGGAGTTCACAGTGCCGTTCCAGCAGTACCGGTCGAAACACTGGTTGCAGATATCCGGGAGAGTGGTACCCGTGCGTTCGAACGAGCGGCTGAGGATAGCGCAGCCAACACAGGATGTCCAGTCGGCGTCCAGGGTGCTGTTAGCCATAGTGGCAACCTCATAGCCATTGAGGATAATCTTGTCACGCTGAGTGTCGTCGGTGCTCATCTGGAAGGTTGAGATATTGGAATGGTAGGAGTAAGGGGCATTGGGAATGTACACGACGAGAGGCGTGGGTCCGGTCTGGTTGGCACTATCACAGCCAAAGAAGGATGGACGGGTGCTGAGGCCCAGGTTGATGAAGGTGTTCTGGTCTGGAATCGCGGGGAAGGAGGTGCCGTTGCCGATACCGCTGGTGTTCAGGCTGCGCTCGTAAGTCGCAACTAGGGATGTACCATTTGGCCAGAAATAATCAGTGTCGGCCGAGGAGTCGACGGCGAAGATGACATCGACATGGCGCTCGGGTTGGATAAGAGGATGCAAAGGGACGTTCTGTCCATCCTCGCCGCCATCAACGACGTCCAGCAATTCCTGCGCAGCATACGGCGACGAGTGCGGGTTGTATTTGTAGAAGGGGTTGGGATCGTACGAAGCGATGTCGTTTTGACTTTTGTCTAGCCCCTGCAAGATACCATTGAACACATTCTTTACGAAGTCGGGGAGCGAAGTGGTGTTGAGCTGAAGAAGGAACTGGTTGAAGAGTGTGGAGGAGGTTCCGATCACAAAACCAGCATTGTCGAAACCTCTGATGCAGCTCTCGTTTTTCGGAAGTAAGCCAGCCTCGAACTTAGAGCCCAGGTACTTGAGGGGAACGAAACCAAAGATCGTAGGATCAAAGGTGCCAAACTCCCACGGGTTGAACTCGTAGACGGTCGCGTTGCCGCCAACGACCAGCTCACCGGGGTTACGACCATCGGCAACAACAAATGGCATGGGGTAATCTCCATCCTGGAACGCGGGGGTGTCGGCAATGGAAGACCAGGTATAGCTGACTCCACCATTGGTAGCATTGAACATTTGATAGGAGAGTGCGCGGCCCCTGTACCCAAATTAGCAAACATGTGCATTCCGTGAACAGGATAACATACCAGATATCAGTGAGAGAAGTATCAAAGCCAGCCTTCTTCTTCGCGTCGACGGCATTAGCAAGTTCCTTGAAGTAACTAGCCGAATCCAAGAGCTGGATACCACCAGTATCAGGACCCTCGAGGATCGAGTTGCCAAACTGCCAGACGGCACCATCCTCGTGCGTCTGCAACTTGTCGATTGTAGTGAAATTATTGATATAGATTGAACCCAGCAACCAGCTGCCTCCACTGAGACCAGAAATATAGGTAGCAGACTGCAGGAGACCACCCAAATGTCCAGTCGTTGACGCATTGGATGTCCGGCTGTCGAAAGCCTTAACCGCGCCGGCACCGTTCATCAACGCACGCCATCCACCGCCGGAGACGGCAATGCCGATATTGGGAAGACTCGACGAGTTCCCAGAGTGTTTATCGAGGTAGCCGGCGACGTCATAATCTCCGACTTTCACATGTCCGAAGAAATCCTTCATCGCCGACAGGGTCTTTCCGCGGCGGACTTTTAGCCATGCTGTCTCGTTCGAGGACAGGTTCTCTGCGCTGCGAACTGTCGGTCGGTCCACAGGGCAGCTGACGGATGTCGGCACGTACCCGTCGGGCGCATTGGGGAGGGCTCGTTGCACACCCGCGAATGTGATATCATCGGAATTGAGCCCACCAGGAACAGCGATCGCGCCTGCAGGAAGATGGTGATTAGTTTGGAACAATCATATTTTGCGCGTGTAAAGGTCCAATTAAGCCAGGAATGGTAGCCCCATATAAAAATAAATTAACGCGAGGAGCATTTACCGGGCAAGCCCAGAGCAATCGAGATCAGCGCGAAAGTCTTCATGACGGCTCGATCAACCGTTAAGTGCAGAAGAGAAAGGAATGGATCCCTATGTCCCAGGGGGAGATTCTTATGCACTGGGGGGGGCGGAATACTTATGCGCCGGGCCCACCGGAAGGTGAGCCAAGGCTCCCGATGTCCCAGAGGAGTTCTTTTGGTACGGTAGGTATGTTCGTAGGGATCACACAAATCATAGCTGCCGAGTGGAGTGAAGTGAAGTTAATGATGCCGGGGGCTCCGTCTGACTACACAGTAAAATATTAAATATAGAATAAAAATTCACATTGTCCCCATATTTTGAGGCGCAGGTCAGACTTTAGATCCTCAGCTCCTGGATAGTAGGTAAGAGTGCCCAAATGGGCTGAGAGCTGATCCCAAGGCCGTCATGTGATGCAATTTGCTTACACCATAAATTTAATGGGGTTGTACAATTGTAGGCATCCGCATTTCAGCAGTCATTATTGGAGGTTCAAGAATGCCTAAAAGTGGATTTCAAAATTCTCCAACGGTTCTGCAGTTCAAGGGCCAAGGTAATACGGGGATAACTTGGATAACTTGGATATGCCGGCACAAAAAGTCAACAGAGATCGTGATTGGATCAGATCAAAATGATGCAGTACAATCCAACTACATTTCAAGGTTTCAGGTACAGTGTTGTACTAGGCGCTAGTGGCGTGTAAAGGCTAGTTGGATGTTGGTCACAAATCGACTAGGGTGTGGAGTTCAGTATAACTACTATGAGATGACAAGAACCTGTGAAGTTATCAGTTGAATTAAAAAATTCGATAAAAGTGTTGGGCTTAAAAAACGTCACCCCAATACAGACAGTACCAAGCTAAAGCAAGGTAAGATTTCTTTTGCACTCGATTTCAGCCACGACCAGGGCCAATCTCGCCAATCTCAAACTGTGCCATGTGTCTAGTCGTCCCGGTTCTCGATAGCCTGCACATGACCCTCGGGCAAGTTGTTCAACTCGTCCTCCTCCTGATCCAGACTCCAGAACTGGATAATGAATATGATTCCACCGACAAAGGTCAAGATAGCGAAGACGGCGTAGTTCCAGATCAACAGAGGGTCCTTGGAAAGCGGTATCAGAGCCTCAGCGATGGCAGCAGAGATGGCGTTGGTGAACATGTTGATAGCTTGGATCAGAGAACGCATATTGCGAGGCGCCTTGGAATAGGCATACTCCATCGAGGTGATCAAGGCAAAGATCTCCGAGAAAGCTACGAGCACGTACGAACCAGTCTGAGCCCAGACAATGATAGGAGTCGGGTTGACACTGCCGTCGTTGTTGTAGCAGTTGTTAGCGCGGTAACCGCAGGGCGAAGTCTGGTAGATGTAGTACTGAATGACGGCAGCCCAGATCATGGAGAGCGACGCCAGCCAGAAGCCAAGGGTGATCTTCCTGATGGCCGTGAATCGAATGCCCATTTTGCGCAATCCAGAATACAGGAACGTGTCGCAGAGCGGGACGAAGATGAGCAGCGCCAAGGGGTCAAGATTGTTCACAACGTCGTTCGGGACGCCGTTCAAGGTCATCGTGCCGGCCTGTGCGGTGAGATTGCTTGTCAATTGGTTGTAGGCTAGGAAGTAGATCGGGAACCAGCAAAAAACGGCACACGCGGCAAATCCACGGCGCACTTCGTCCACCCATGCATCGTCAAAGGTCATCCACTTGGGCCGGGATTGCGGCGCAATGTTAGAGGGCTTCGCGGTGTCCCAGAGAGTTCCATCGTGAGTTCGCTTCCAGAGGATGTATGGGTTGTAGTGCCAGCGACCGCGCATACAGTAAAAGAAAGTCTTGATGGCCTTGTAAGTTACCGAACCTGCGGGGGGAGACTGACGATAGCGGTTACGACCCCACCACATGACGAATGGGGTAGTCAGGAACATGACCGTGGGCAGCAGGAAGGCCAACCAGAAGCCGATATACTTCTCCGCATATGCCATGCCGATCTGACCCATCAATGCGCCGAGGTTGATAAAAACGTAGAAGTAGTGGTAGATACGGCTCTGGGTGATAGTAGGGTCGATGATAACACGCTCACCAGATTCGAGCGTACGTACCTTGAGATTGACAATAGGTATCTGCTCGACAATCAGGGCGGATATGTTGGGCTTGAAGCCACCAGTGCCTAAGCCCATGATTATTACACCCAGAATGAAGACTCCGAAGGAAGCGTCAGTGTTTTTGATCACAGGTGGGATGGCAGAGATAACTAGAATGATGTGACCGAGAATGGCGGCCGCAATAGACCAGGAGATAGTCTTGTATCGTCCCCAGTACTCGTCGGCGATGTAGGCACTCACGAGAGGAAGACAGTAACACCAGAAGGTGTTGAAGGTATTGATGGCGCTCGCAGTTTCGACACCCTGGCCCAAAGCACCCGATATACCCTGGGAGCTAGGCCCACCAGCCCCGGTCGCATGGTTTGATCCGGGAGGGCCATCCGGGGCAAGAAGCGGAAGTGCATGGTTCACGAAATTAGAGTCTGTGTTGCCGTGTTAGCATCATTTCTTATATGGTTCGAATGGGGCGTGGTTGTCTTACAGAGGACCTGACTTCCGTAGTAGGAGAAACGCTCGCACAGTTCGACAAAGGCGACGGTGTAGACAGCCCAAGGAATCGGAGCTGAGACGCGACGCAAGGCGTTGGGGCCATGAAGCTCATCTGTGGTCGGGTCCTCGTCACCAGCACCAAGGTTGTAGGACTCGTGGATGATACTTTTCTGGGGCTTTTTCCCATTGGAGACAGGCTCACTTAGGCCAATGGGGTTGACGGGCTGGACCTCACGGATATCGAGCTTCTCCGAGCCCAGAGCTGTGGCCTCGGTCTCCATCTTGAATAGAACAGAGACCAGTGCAAGATATGGGAGGGGGAAAAACAACTAGAGGGACGCGAGTGGAAGAGATAAAAAAGGAGGCGAAAAGAAAAGTAAACAAGCGAGATAGAAATTCACATGTTAGGACTGAACTCGGGTTGCTGATGACAATGGGGCAACAACTTGCAGGTTCCCTCGCTTCAAACCTGCCCTTAGAAAATAGAAAAGCAATAGCTTTAATAGCAGTCATGCGTCTTTTTTTATATATATAACCTGATGCCATAACGACAAGACAAGGCTGGCCTTGACCGGGGCTACGGCTCAATATCAGGTGAACTCGTGGACCAAAGCAGCAATTCAAGACGGCGATAGATGCAACATGTGCCGCACTATGTAACCTGCTGTGCTACGTAACCTCACCAGACAATAGCATAGCTAGTTTATTTTTCTCTCTATAGATCAGGGGAAATGACACCAAACTCAATGGCGCGAGCGTTTTAGTTTACACTATATTCTCTCGACCTCAAATTGAGCCCATACAGTCGGATATAAGATATCAGGAATTGGAATCATACAACCCTCTTTTGAGCAACCGAGAAGAGATAAGTGGGCTTCAATTGGTAATCAATTCAGATCTAGCAATATTGAAGTGTAGAAAAATTTGGGATGAAGAGAAAGAAAGTCCAACAGCAAATGCATAGACCTCGGCAGGCGTCTAGTGCAAAGCTTGTAAAAAGCTTGATACATGCTTCCAATTTGTCTTTAGCATGTCCTGCTAAGATACCAGAGTATATATCCTGCAACTTTGGACTATAATACTGTCATTTACCTCAAATTAGCCCGTTTAAATACTTTTTCATGATACGTTGTTCATATCCATAGGTGGCTGCTTCTAAAACAATCCCGTTGCAATCTGGAGCCCAGAGAAAAGTAGAGGCCACAGGGTTGCAAGATGAAGGTTGTAGGATGAACACGAACCCTTACTATATAACATATTATACTACAGAGGCTATATCGTCTGGGGTTTGTTTACTAGCAAGGTTTATATACTAAATATAAGGTTGCAGAGTTGCAGGGTTGCAACGTAAGTATTCCACTATACCTCAAGTGTTTGGGACCTTAATAATAAATATCAGATCGAGACTACCCTGCGAATTTCGCTCCGTGACCCTTCGAGAGAGGCGCCTCGAAAAAGTGCACGGGCTTTAGGGGGTTCTTGGTATAACAGTGCACAGAAAGGGAATGAACCCGTAAGGTGGCAACGGGACTACTAGGTAGGCATGTGATACCAACTAACCAAATGAGATACCTTATATTTCAGCAAAGAAACCAAACACTTTAGAATGCCAAGCCAAGATGGCAATTGTCTTATGTCCACTGAGTGTGCTCATCTTCTCAGCCCTGCCTTGGCCTATAGCATGTAATCTTGGTATGGATTCGACGGCCTAAATCTACACAATATTCAGCTATACAACTCAACTCCTCAAATACTTGGCTAATCAATCGCCTTTGAGCCTACTTACCTATTTGGGCTAAGCTGTCGACATTAGACAAAATCAGGTCACCAACCTAGCACCTCTCCGTATTCCGTCCATGTTCCAAAGTCCAGCACGTACCAGCTCAGGTGACTGCTTGCTGTAAGTACACGGGCACAAGTCCGGGGCGTTTGGGTACCCAACAGGTAATTAAGACATCCCATCAGTAAGCGAACATATCCGCGCATAAAAGAGCCTACAATGTAGAATATCAAGTACCAAAGAGTGAGCGTGACTACATACGTGTGAGGTACATAAGTTACCCTTATAGAAGCCCAACATTCCGCTCATGACTAACCGCAACATGATTGGCTACCAACTCTATATATTTCTATTGGATCCCAAACAATCAACATCCCGGCTCGATCAACTCTGATTGGTCCTAGTTCTCCACATCTTCCCCAGACTTGATGTCAGTCGCGGATTGGTTTCCATGGCGGCTGAAAAAGAGAATGACATCTGGATTATTCTTGACTACGTTGATGACGATTACAACAGCCACATAGTTATCACGCGGTAGTACCTGATTTCGGGTTACTAGATTTAGCAGCGACATCCATTTTTGTGTATCCCTAGCATTTGATCTTTGGATTGAACCTTAAGTTTATTGATCGGCCTTATTAGGAGGTCAGGTGGTGAATTCCCTCGGTGGTTTGAATATGTGGTACGCTCTGACTGGATGGCTGTACGCGGTTATTTTTCGGTTGGGTGGAAATGCTTGAGATTCCGGTTCTTGGTGCCGGTTGGGTAACCTATACAAGGCTACGCATGACAGTGAATATATATCATTGTACAACAATGAGATGCGAATGCCGATCTTCAACAAAGTGGGTCAAGATTTACCTGCAGCTAAACTCTACGGAGATGAAACGGTTGAACGGTTGAAACAAATATTATTCGAGCGATTTGTAGTCTAACGTCATAGCATCCAACTTTGGAACCCGTGGCCTTGCAAATTATCGCTATCAATGAAAATCAAATCGCAAAAACCAAAGCCTATACGCTATTTCCGGCCCATAACCCAAAAGACGCAGAACGCCATGCAATGAGAGACCAAAGAAGATGGTCACACGCAGTGATTGAAAAGGCAAAATCAAACAAGGGCCATAATCAATCTACCATGCAGCATGTCCACCATCCATGCGCAGGTCGCTTCCAGTCATGAAACTGCTAGCATCGCTGAGCAAGAAGACAGCGGCGCCACGGTACTCTTCCGGTCGGGAGAGACGGCCAAGCATGTTCTCTTTGGGCCACTGATCGCGACGCTCGGGGAACTCGATGAACAACTTCTCAACCATAGCGGTGACAATGTAGCCAGGGGAGATGGTGTTGACGCGGATGTTGTAGGTGCCCCATTCGGCAGCCAAGTTACGGGCGAGCTGGAGGACAGCAGCCTTGCTAGCGTTATATGCGGGGCAAATAAGACCCTGTAGGGAGAACAGGTTAGATCGTTGACCAACTAGAAGAACAGGATGTGACATAACAGCGGGGAAATAACCCAAAAAGGAATAAAGTCTGGGCAGGGAGACACTAGGCCTATACCGATACTTTGAATGCCAAATGGGGTGGAAATGGTAAAGGGTAAGACGAGAGAGGGGAGTGGGAACGTACTCGATTGGCAACAGTGCCGCTCATAGAGGCGATCATAGCGATGCTACCTCCATTACCAAAGCGAATCATTTGCTTAGCAACAGCCTGGGAGGTCATGAACACTCCCGTGACGTTGACCTCGAACATTGTGTTGCTGTCCTTGGCTGAGTATTCGAGCGCTGGGGTCTCCTGCTGGATACCTGCTGCGGCAACAAGGCCATCCATACGGCCCTCCTCATTGGCGATGGTCTCGATGACACTGTTGAGCAATTCTGTGTCACGCACGTCAATACGACGGTAGTGCAACTCGGTGCCGAGCTCCTTTGCGCGCTGCTGGATCTGCTCGAACTCGGGGGCCTGGTGATCGAGTGATGTTAGTTGAGCGCACAGAGTCCAAGCTGGTGATTGTATAAACCAGAGGGATGTAGAAACTTACCGGCTCTTCCAGACGGTCAAGTGCGTAAACTTTCGCTCCAGCTTCCAGGAGTGCCTCTGCTTGGACCAAACCTAGACCCCGGGCAGCACCTGAGACCAGAACCACCTTTCCAGCGAGACTGAACTCGGGCATTCTGGCCTTCTGGCCCATCACGACGGGCTGGGCAGTCATAGGAGCAGTAGGAGCTGCGGTGGTTTCGATGGAGACAGACATTGTGATATGTAGTAGGTAATATATAAGAGTAATGAGGATAGAAGGGATATTAAAAGACGTCAAAGATGATTAGACTGGTTTGTGTATAAACAAAGAAGAGTGAAGATGATTCAGTTGATGAAGTACCATGAACCAGAGAATCAACTCCCTTTAAATATCTTTTGACCGACAAACTCAAGCCGGACCAAGACCAAAGCGCCCCAGAGGTGTCTCGTGAGCAGAAAGAAACTAGAGGACCGCCCAAATAGGAAATCAGACATGGGCCAAGGGTACTGCAGAGCGAATTGGGTCCAGACCTCCTGGAATGTGGATTAAACGGCTGTGGCGAGGCATACGCAACCCTACAGACTCGATTAGCGCATAGGAAAATCATCTACGTATAGTATTAGGATGTATCAATTGATCAAAGGAAGTTGATACTCTTGTTTTTCCTTGTCAAGATCCCTGTTCAAATTGGCCGCACGAACTTTCCAGCAATAATATTAAATCACACTGAATTCAGGGATGGAATAACAAGTAACAAGTCACCAAACAAGAAATTCACGATAGTTGGCAGTTCGGAACCTAAGGGATGGGGCCGGATTTCTCTTTCGGGAAACCCGTCTGGGAACTGAGAACCCGGGGAACCCCCAACGCCACTTCAATTTTTGACATTTTTTTTTTCCTTTGCTTTCAATTTATCCAGGTGACCATGAGAACTACATATCCACTGCCGAGCCTCGAGCCGGGTCTTCTAGAAATCTTCCAAGCCTTAACTAGGGTCAGGTGGCTATTTGCAGATGGAATCCCTACCAATCATATCCGTACATATTTCGTGTGATATCCGTTCCTGTCTCGTTCCTGTCCGATCGCCCCGGCCTCCAAAGTGGCCCGGGCGAAGAGAAAGTCATTGGTCAATTGCTATACAAGGATCTGAAGATTTTCTTTTAATATCGAAAACTCTAGATGTCATATTATAGAGAAAAGTATGTGTTCAATCGAATGTACATACGTAGAGCTGTTAAACCGGGGTATTCCGGATCTCCAAGCGGAAGTAAATGAACTAAAATTAGGACTCAAATTCAGAGTCCAGACTCACACTAAGGATTAAGGGCATATAGCTTATCTGACTCTAATGCAATATCCATAAGCCAACACACCTTGTGACCATCAGAATCTTCCATTCCCAACTCCTTACTCAATGGGGAGATTCCGAGGTTTCCACTTTTCTGTTCTCGTGATATCTTTATTTCTCCCCCTGGATC